CATACAGGTTATGATTGTCAGCTTGAGAATGCTGGGGAGCCACTAGAAAAGTGGCAGGAGAGTGACAGGATGGGATTTACATTGTAGGATCACTTTGATTGCTTTGTGAAGGTGGAATTGGGAAAGTAGACATTGGGGGTGGGACATAGCAATGGATGAATGAAACTTTTATTAATCATGTCAACAAGTATGTTTTGAGCACACACTGCACCAGGCCCTTTACAAAGTGCTAGGATAATACAGTGAGTGAGGTGGGCATGAAACCACATGGACCTTGTGTGGTAGTGCTGTCTTCAATTTCTGTGGAAGACAAATTCACTAACATATAAAGAGACACATCAAACAAAAATCATGACAGGTTTTGAAAAATGCTGCAAAGGTACCAAGGGGGAGAAGTGGCGGGGTGGGGGGTGGGATGGTGAGATGAATTGGGTGATTGGGATTGACGTGTATACACTACTATGTATAAAATGGATAACTGTTAAGAACCTACTGTATAAAAAATAAGTTAAATTTAAAAATTCAAAAAAAAAAAGAAAAATGCTGCAAAGGTACTGTGAAGGAGAATAATGACTGATCTCTTCAGGAATGCATAAATCTCTCCACTTTTTTCAATGCAATCCCTATCAAACTACCACTGGCATTTTTCACAGAACTAGAATGAAAAATTTCGCAATTTGTATGGAAACACAAAAGACCCCGAATAGCCAAAGCAATCTTGAGAACGAAAAAAGGAGCTGGAGGAATCAGGCTCCCTGACTTCAGACTATACTACAAAGCTACAGTAATCAAGACAGTATGGTACTGGCACAAAAACAGAAATATAGATCAATGGAACAGGATAGAAATCCCAGAGATAAACCCATGCACATATGGACACCTTATCTTTGATAAAGGTGGCAGGAATGTACAGTGGAGAAAGGACAGCCTCTTCAATAAGTGGTGCTGGGAAAACTGGACAGCTACATGTAAAAGTATGAGATTAGATCACTCCCTAACACCATACACAAAAATAAGCTCAAAATGGATTAAAGACCTAAATGTAAGGCCAGAAACTATCAAACTCCTAGAGGAAAACATAGGCAGAACACTCTATGACATAAATCACAGCAAGATCCTTTCTGACCCACCTCCTAGAGTAATGGAAATAAAAACAAAAATAAACAAATGGGACCTAATGAAACTTCAAAGCTTTTGCACAGCAAAGGAAACCATAAACAAGACCAAAAGACAACCCTCAGAATGGGAGAAAATATTTGCAAATGAAGCAACTGACAAAGGATTAATCTCCAAAATTTGCAAGCAGCTCATGCAGCTCAATAACAAAAAAACAAACAACCCAATCCAAAAATGGGCAGAAGACCTAAATAGACATTTCTCCAAAGAAGATATACAGACTGCCAACAAACACATGAAAGAATGCTCAACATCATTAATCATTAGAGAAATGCAAATCATAACTACAATGAGATATCATCTCACACCAGTCAGAATGGCCATCAACAAAAAATCTAGAAACAATAAATGCTGGAGAGGGTGTGGAGAAAAGGGAACACTCTTGCACTGCTGGTGGGAATGTGAATTGGTTCAGCCACTATGGAGAACAGTATGGAGTTTCCTTAAAAAACTACAAATAGAACTACCATATGACCCAGCAATCCCACTACTGGGCATATACCCTGAGAAAACCAAAATTCAAAGAGTCATGTACCAAAATGTTCATTGCAGCTCTATTTACAATAGCCCGGAGATGGAAACAACCTAAGTGCCCATCATCGGATGAATGGATAAAGAAGATGTGGCACATATATACAATGGAATATTACTCAGCCATAAAAAGAAACGAAATTGAGCTATTTGTAATGAGGTGGATAGACCTAGAGTCTGTCATACAGAGTGAAGTAAGTCAGAAAGAAAAAGACAAATACCGTATTGTAACACATATATATGGAATTTAAGAAAAAAAAATGTCATGAAGAACCTAGGGGTAAGACAGGAATAAAGACACAGACCTACTGGAGAACGGACTTGAGGATATGGGGAGGGGGAAGGGTGAGCTGTGACAGGGCGAGAGAGAGTCATGGACATAGACACACTAACAAACGTAACGTAGATAGCTAGTGGGAAGCAGCCGCATGGCACAGGGATATTGGCTCAGTGCTTTGTGACAGCCTGGAGGGGTGGGATAGGGAGGGTGGGAGGGAGGGAGACGCAAGAGGTAAGACATATGGGAACATATGTATATGTATAACTGATTCACTTTGTTATAAAGCAGAAACTAACACACCATTGTAAAGCAATTATACCCCAATAAAGATGCTAAAAAAAAAAAAAGCATTCCCTCAAATCTTAGCACAGCATACTAGTTAGATACCATAGCTTCAGCATTTTCATGATATTTAAAAGGAAAATTTTAGTGTAGTCCCAGGTTTAAATGTATGAAATGTGATATTTTATGTAATAAATCAAGTCTTTAACCCACACACAAAAAGTAGTTTCATTATTTAACAGTCATTATATATATAGTCACACATAACATTCATTCATTCATTCATCCAGGAAATGTTTATTGAGCATTTACAGGTTAGAAGGTCATTGCTGTAGTCTAGAGAAGAGATAATGCCTAGTGTGGATAGGTTTGGCAATGGGGAGAAGTAGACACATTTAAGAAATATTGAGGATTGTGGAGAGGCTGGATATAGGCAGGAGAAGGAAGTACCGATGATCCCAGGTTTCCTACTTACTCAGCTGACTAGATGACAGTACAGTTCACTGAAGTAGAGGGAAAAAACATTTGACATTGCTAGTAATTAAGAGAAATACAGAGCAAAACTGTGAGATGCCATTTTCAGCTATCAGACATATGAAGGTTAAAGAAAAAGATAATGCTTGATGTAGAAAGAAGGCATGATAGAGCAGGTATCCTCATAAACTGTTAGAGAAGCAGAGAGCATTTGGCAATATACATTTTAAAGCTTAAAAGCATTCATACCCTTCGACCCAGTAATTTACTGTAAATACAAAAAGTTATTTATATTAAGGAATATTAGGCAAAAACTTAAATGCCCAACTGTAGGGAGCTGATGATATAAATTGTCACAGCTAGAGGATGGATTACTATATAATTATTAAAAAACAGACAAAAACTTTGGAAGAACTTTTAATGAGATGGAAAAATGATTATAACCTGTGAATAAAAATGCAAAACAAGTGTTGCTTGGGATGTTATAGTTGTGTGTTAAAAACACAAAAAGTATAGATATATATATATAAAAAATTACTGGAAAAAATTAATTATGATGTCAATTGACATCATAGTTGTTATTTCTAGGTGGTAGAATTATATGTGGTTTATATTTTCTTATTAATACATTTCTATAAGTACTTTTCAATGACTATTACTTTTATAATTAAAATATTAAGTTCCTATAAGATAATTTAAGAAAATAATTATTACTGTGATGATTTTTCAGTCTTTCCAGTGTCAGCCTGCCTTTAGCTAAGATAATTCCAATAATAAATGGACAGATCCATTCAGTTTGCAGTGAAACACCTAGTCATTTTGTTCAGGTAAGAGGAAAGCTTGGGGGTATTATTAAAAACAGACTGTACTCTTGGTTGTGATCCTATTTGTCCAACATAAAATTACATTTCTCTTCTATGATATTTGTTCAAAGAAACCAAAAACTTGAAACCACATGTAGAGTATGGTAGCATGACCCATGAGAGTAATAATGTATCATGGCACTTTTATGAGGTTGGGAATACCTTTCTCCATGTTATAGTCCAACACGTGTTAGACAGACTACATTTTAGTCCAAATACATTCTAGTGGTCAGTTGAATTTACAGTGTTACTGTTTTGCATTAAGCTGTGCTAGTAGAAAAGTTGAGCCTTGAGGCAAATCAGCGAACTAGTTCCTCGCATTTTGAGGAAAAATTGAAAATTTTTATGGGAAAGGTAAAGCATCTTAATAGCTAATAAATACAACAATTAATAGTGCACCAATAATCTGCTCATTAAAAACTGCATACTCAGTAGGTTATTTAAATTTTTCATTGGACTACCTATAACTCCATCTCCTTTCTTAGGAAAGCATTTTAGAATACATTGAGTAAGACTAATTTTATTAAAAGGACAACTTTGAATCCATAGGTTTTTTTCCAAGTCACTTGCAAACTTGGAAACTGTACAACAAGTAATAAATTACCTGCAATACACCTCAGTTCCAAACCACTGCCATAATGTGCAGTGCAAAGAGACCCTAGGCCTAAGTGTAAAGATGGCATCTTCTCAGTATCGTTTATCTCTGTGGATTTCTACTTGAGGACATGAAGAGTCCTGGGACTATGGGTTGTAATTCTTCCTTTCTCTGTATAGTGTCATTAGCTTGTCCTTAACATGCTACTTTTCCTCACTCCTTCAGTCTTCTGTGTCATCCTCTCACCCATGAGAATTAGCCATTCATATTTCAGAAGAAAGAATGAATAAGGCTGATCTCATTTCACTTAATTTTAAGCTTAATTTAAGCTCAAAAAATCTTAATTAAAAACTTAGTTTTAAATTTTCTGTTTATTTTTTTTAATTTTTACATGTATATTAGTGTGAGAAAAAAAGTTATAACTTCTGGCATTTAAACCTTTATCTTTCTCCATTTTCATGAAGTCTCTGGCTTCATCAGTAAGCTGTTCATCTTGACAAGTGGGAAATACAGCTAAGCGTAATACAACACCAGCTCTGGTGCTTAAGTAATTTATGTTCTACATTAATTAAAGTCTGTATAATTGAGAATGAAGACAAAAGGTTTCAACCTAGTAAAAACATCATTGATACTAATGCTTAGTAAATTTTCTTAGTGTGACTGGATGTAGATTGAGTTTATAAACTAGACCATTAATTGACAAGACTTCCACCAATTTTTTTAACTATGATTTCTATGAGTTAAAATGCCACGTGGTATTCAGAGAATTTAACCTTGAATTTGTGAGAACAAGACTTACCTAAGCTCACTTGGGTTTTCTGATGCTTAGGAGAGAACACAAAGGATAGGTTCACTTCTTGTTTCTCTGCTGCTCACAGGGCACTTAATGGTTTCTGTTGTCATAGATCCTTTCACTATCTGGAGAAGCCTGTGGACGCCTCCTCAGAATAATGCCTATAAATGCATATTGTAAAATACGTAGGTTTTAAAGAAAACCAATTGCATACAGTTTTAAAATACTTTTAAAAATCAGATTTACGATATAGCAATATTGCTTCTTTGTTCATGCATTAAGTAACAAGATGTAATGGCACTCCATGTAACTTCCACAGCTGTCTATCATATGATGTAAAAATGTCTGATTTCTACTAAAGGCAAATTCAGAGGTTCTGCTGCTACTATCAGTTTGTTGCTTACATTCATAACTGAAGGAAATGCTAGATTTTAGTTGAAGGTTAATGAAAATAAAGATGTAATTTTTTCCTTATCTACATTCACAGATCCCTTAAGAACCCCTGTTCTCAGGTGTATATGTGTGATTATGTATGTGTGTATATGTAATATATGATATACTACATATATTCTATGTTAGAAAGTAATATACCTCAATCATGTCATGTCAGCTTCCAGCAAAAGTACCTTTAGACTTGTATAGTGTTGTAATCATTTATTCAACAGATACTCTTCTAGCACTTGACACACACAGAAATCCATTTGAAGACTATTTTGGGTCATCTTCTCTAAGCCACACTTGAATACTTATCATATCCACTATCTCTCACGTAAGAACTTAAACAATAAACATCTCCAGGAATTTATTATAAGAAAAACTACTTCTTTCATTAAATGGTTTTCTTTTTGGCCTTAATGCCACAAAACTTAGAGCTAACTTTGTTGCTTGATTACAGAAATGAATTCTGATTATCTGTTCTTTTTATAAACTGTAATGTTTTATTGTCGTCTTTGCTAGGATCTGTTAATGATGGAGCAAGTGAAAGACTTCGCTGCTAATGTGTATGAGGCCTTTAGTACTCCTCAACAACTGGAGAAATGATTTTTTCCTTCAGGAAGAACTACAGTGGAATTCATTTGCTTTAAAAAATACACTGAATAAATCAACTATATAGAGGGTAATGATTTGGTACTGAAATATCTAATAAAAATATATTCATAATCAAAGTCTTCATTTCATAATAAAATAGATTTATTTGGCATCTTAATATATTTTTTTAAAGTCATCAACAAACTGGTTTTTGTGGGCATATCTGAGTGTACACAGGGCAAATGTCAGAATTGTTAATAATTTGTTACACCATGGATATTAGTTCCAAACTGATTAATGTAGATACTTCTTTTATATAATAGGAAATTCAGTATACTTTGACATTAATACTGAGGTAAAATCTGTTTGGGAAGTAGGTGTGAAGTCTGGAAAATAATGCTATTTAATCATTAAGTTCTCTGGACTACAGTATACAGGAGTGAATCAGACTTCCAGTTAGTATTCAAAGGGATAAGTTATTTGTCTTAAATATACCTGATTGAGGACTTCGTTTTTTTAGAGAAATCAGTTAATGTAGCAACTGTGATCTGGACTTCCCTGGCAGTCCAGTGGTTAAAACTCCCTGCTTCTCCTGCAGGGGGAACAGGTTCGATCCCTGATCCCTGGTCGGGGGAACTAAGATTTTGCATGCCGCATGGCACGGCCAGAAAAAAATAGGGAACAACTATGATCAGCAATTTTTTTCTTTACTGTTGTTAACAATCCTTAGGAAACTACATATTGATTTAGGGGCAAAAATTGTGTTGATGCCGTTTACTCACAGCTATGATTAACTACTGTACATAGTTTCATTCATTTTTTGTAAATAATTTTAATAACTTACTTTGTATTGATTTTGAACAGTGAATCTTATTGCAATAAAGTATTTTAGTAAAATACGGTTTTATTGAGTTAATACTTTACAACTATTAATTTATTTGTCCCATAGCATTTTTGCTGTTATTTTTGGAGATTACACTAGTTTTCAAGTTTCATTTTAACTGGTAATTGTTGCTTTCTTTTAACTTATTTGTTTAGAAAAAATAAATAGCATTTCCTTCTGAAAAGAAATAATTCATTGTTCTAGTAAATCTATAGTTCTTTATATGGGTAATTAGAGCAGAAATAAATGAATCATGATCGTCATTATATTAGATATATTTTCAGTAGCATAAGAATATTTTCAGTAGCATCATTTTATGTTGTTTTATTTCTCTAACATATAACATATAGCTAAATAGTAGAAGGTAGAAAATGAATTGTGAAGTCTCTTCTAAGGCCAGGTTAGGCCTGAAGCCAACCACTAGGGAATCTATGCCTAGAATATTTTTTTAAAAAAACAAAAAACAAAACAAAAAAAACAGAAAAAACAGATGTAAAAGTGGAGAGGAGAGCAAATGCTTCTTTTCAAAATTTGACAGAATATAATGATGTTATTTCTAATAGGGTGGTGGAAAAACTATATTTTGGAAAATTAGTAAATGTGTGTGTAATAGGGCATGCATCTCTTCCAGCAATATTAACCCAGGATTTCATCCAAGGAAATTTTGAGAATGAACAGGTGCAGCCTTGTTAAGGATAGAAAGCTGATCATCTGAAAATTATCACCTGGAATCATCTACCTCTGTAGAGTTGTAGCAGTTTTAGAGATGACAAGGTAAAAACCACATGTATTTAAAGCTAATTGGACTTAGACATTATAAATTTGTCTTCTAATTGTACAGTAGGAGCCCTTTTATCTGGGACCCTTAGTTGTTTGGTTAATCCAAGAAGTCATTTAAAGCAGGGTATCATTTAAAAAATAACACATGTATTCTTAGATATTTTAACTTAAAATATAAATAATCTTTATTTGCCAGTTATTGAATGTAGGACCCATGTCTTTTCTACCTTTTCAGTGTAGGTCTGCTTCTAAGGGTTCTCTAATTGTCTTTCTTATACAGATCACATGTATTAACATTATATAGTTGTAAACCAGGGGTACAGAATTCTTGTAGATTTTTACTATATTTCCCTTCAGTCTTTTACAACTTTTTTTTTTTTTTTGGCTGCGTTGGGTCTTCGTTGCTGCGCGCAGGCTTTCTCTAGTTGTGGCGAGCGGGAGCTACTCTTCATTGCAGGGCGCGGGCTTCTCTTTGCAGTGGCTTCTCTTGTTGCAGAGCACGGGCTTTAGGCGTGCGGGCTTCAGTAGTTGTGACTCGCGGGCTCTAGAGCGCAGGCTCAGTAGTTGTGGCACACGGGCTTAGTTGCTCCATGGCATGTGGGATCTTCCCAGACCAGGAATCAAACCTGTGTTCCCTGCATTGGCAGGTGGATTCTTAACAACTGTGCCACCAGGGAAGTCCTTTTACAACTGTTTTACCCACAATTAATTAACCAGTACATTTAAATTGGAAAAAAAAAAGGCAACATATGTTTATCTAGTTTTTCCAAAGTATTCAACTTGGTTTTCACAGAAACTATAACTGTTCACACTCATTTCATCTGCTTATGCAACATGATAAAAAGTTCTACTGGCATAATCAGTTTGGTAACTATAGTAGTTTCCTAGAACTGCCATAACAAATTACCACTAACTGTGTGGCTTAAACAATAGAAATTTATTCTCTCACCATTCTGGTGCTTAGAAATCCAAAATTAAGGTGTCAGCAGGGCCATGCTCCCTCTGAAGACTCTCAGGAAGAATCCCTCCAGTCCTTCCTTGACTCTTCCAGCTTCTGGTGGCCCCAAGAATTCCTTGGCTTTGTAGTAGCGTAGTCTCTGCTTCTGTCTCCATATGGTCATCTTTTACATGCTTGTGACCCCTGCATCCAGTATGATCTTACTTCAATATTTACTTTAATTGCATCTGCAGAGACACTACTTCCAAGATCATATTCTGAGCTTTTGGGTAGACGTTAATTATTGGGGAACACTATTCAACCCATAACAGTAACGAACTCAACTAACCCTTGGTAAACATATATTGCAGCAAGTGAAAATCAAGGTGAAGCATGTGCCAGACAGAAGCCTACTAACTGAAAGCCTGCAGCTTGCCTGGGCGTCAATCAGTATGCTTTTCCAAGAAAATGGAGAGCATCCGTTAATCTAGTGAGTTGGGTAAATGGAGATTACTTAAAACAGCTTCTACTTTCTCCTTCAAACTTGCATAAATGTGTTGGTTACTGTATATATATAAAAATCTGATATGAACAATTATTTATTTTTTTGCAAGTTAGGAAGGTTTTCATCTAACCAGGTCTTTTACTTACAAAATTGAAATGAACAGAAGGCAAAACATCTGTCTTGTTTTCTATTGTCCTAATTCATATTTATTTGATTAGCCTGACCTTTTAAAGTAATTGTGTTGCTTCAATGTGGCACTCATAAGAAAATGAGAGTCTTATTAAAGTGATATCCATATTTTAAATGATATCAATGTCTAAATCATTCAGTCTAATAATCTAGCTTTGCTTGCCTTCAATATTTCTCATCATTAAAGAAAAATCCAAAGTTACTGAAATTCAAAACAAGTCAATTTTGTGCCTATTTAGTAACTCTGGGAAAAGGCACAATTGCTTGGGGGGTTAAGGACTATTGGCTAAAATAGGTAATAAGAGCTCTGGTTTTTAATTATCCTTACTATAATTCCTGCCCTCCATACCAATGATAATGCTAAGAATTTGATGGAATATTTTAAAATGCTTGTTATGAGTCCCACTTATAGTATATTTCACATATAAGCAAGATATACCTTAAATAAACTTAAATTTGGTGTCTCATTCTGTTTCATATATAATGTCTGGTTATTAGCAAAGCATTTTATCAGCACCTCTGAATGCTGAGCTGTATTTTATCATTTAGCTCCCTCACAGCTACCCATTAACTAAACCCTATACCTAACTATAATTTGCTTAAATAGTTCCATTTTCCCTCTATTTGTAAAGGTCAAGATGGACAGGGTAGGAATTTAAATGATTGACAGGTTTTTAGTCTCAAAAATACTTTCTTCAGGGCTTCCCTGGTGGCGCAGTGGTTGAGAGTCTGTGCTTCGCAACGGGAGAGGCCACAACAGTGAGAAGCCCGTGTACCGCAAAAAAAAAAAAAAAAAAAAAACTTTCTTCAAACAAACAGATGACCTCACTTTTATGTTAAGATTCTTCTAACCCTGTTTATTTGGGTTTGAGGGCTTTTTTCCTTTTTTTGTTTTTCCTTAGTCTAGTGTTTGGGATCATGTAAATCTGTCTTTGGACCTCTAATAAAATGTTACTTGGGATTTAGAACTCTTAAAGTACTTATTCATGTAAATACTTTGGCATGGTTTCAAAATTTTGATAGTTGTAGAAACTTCAGCAATGAATAATTTTTTTTAAGATTTTCAACTTCAAGATGATTTTAGAAAATAAATATGAATAGTATTTTATTTCCCTGTCTACTTGAAGCATTTATAGGGAACAATGAGATGTCCACATTTGATTGATATGACAAAATGAAGCCTGTAGCACTTCAAATAAAGATCTAGCCATGTGGAACATCTTTTGTTAAGGGGAGTAAGTTCTTTAATCAGTGTTTCTTTAAATTTACATCAGTATTATTTTTGCTTCATTCTTAGGGAAGATCTGAATAGACTTCCTAATTTTCAGCTAGCTGTTCAATTTGCTTAAAAGCATATACAGGAAGTAAATTTATTAATTTAAATTGGTCCTCAAATTAGCCCACCCACAAAAATAGGCCCATACCTCCAATCCCACACACTCACCTCCCCCTGCCAAAGAAAAACGTGGAAGAATACATACTAAAATATTAGTAGTGGTGATCTTAACAGTGATTTTGCCTTTAAGCATTTCTGTATAATTTTAAATATCTATAGTGAACATATCAGTTTTATTACCAAGAGGGAAAAAAAGACAAATTTTTTTTATAAAAAGAAAATTACTGTAAGCATTGGAAATAAAATATTAAGCCAAATTTATTATATACCTATGAACCTCTATTAGTCGGCTAGGGTTGCCATAATAAATACCACATATAGGATGGCTTAAACAACAGTAATTTATTTTCTCACAGTTCTGGAGGCTGAAAGATCAAGGTGTCAGCAGGTTTGGTTTCTCTCGAGGCCTCTGTCCTTGGCTTGCAGATGGCTACCTTCTCACTGCATCCTTACATGGTCTTTCCTCCATATGCTTGCATCCGTGCTCTTCCTCTTCTTATAAGGACTCCAGTCATATTGGATTAAGGTCCCACTCTTATGACTTCATTTAACCTTAGTTACTTCTTTAAAATCTCCAAATACAATCACATTGGGGCTTAGGGCTTCAACATGTGAATTTGGCAGAAGACACAACTCAGTCCTTAACACCACCAATTCCTCACTACTCTGAAACAAAATCCCCACCTCTGAATCACACGTGGAAATAAATTCAGTGTGAAGGGACGTCAATAGCAAAGTGCACTGGAGAGTTAAACCAGTTATGTGAGTAATTTAGGAAATTCTGGGCCAATTTTACATTTGCTTTCTCTGTGTGCTACAATTATAGAAACCTGATACATTCTAGTCTTAGATATAACTGCATCAGGAAGCACTCTACTGCAAATCAGGTCACATTAGTTAGTGCTAGAGCCCAGCCCCACTTACAGGGCATCTGATGAACAGTTAGCTGAGGCAGTTCTACCATGATGCCATTTTGCTCCAAAGGAGTCCATTGAAGTGGCTGTCCATGTCCCAGTAGTTCAACCTGAAATTAAAAACATACACACAAATGTCTCCAAGTGTATCTCTGACTCCCTCACTTTATTCGGAAGGAGTGGTTGATATCTCTTAAAAAGCAATGTGGACAGAAGATTCATTTTTTACTTTTATTTAGTGGATTACAAGCTGTTTTAAAATGAGTGTATACATCTGTCTTGCTCCCATATTACTCTTAAAAGTGTGCAGGATTTGGGGAAGAATTGTAAAGATTGAATAGTGTCAGAGTAGAGAAAATTATTCTCAAACCAATCTGCACGACTAAGGCCTGCCCAGTTCTCACACAGAATGTTTGAAGAAAGGCTCAGCTTCCTTATCCAGCCACCATTCCCCCCAAGATGTTCCAATAACCTCCACTAATCAACAATACCTAAGTGTGATCAATTATTACTGTAACTGTTCTATATTCTTCATCTTATACAAGGTGAATTTCAATAAGTAGTTTTCTATATATCTGTGGTTATTTTGAACCAGAAAACTTTGCTTATCATGTAGAGTAACATAAAAACAAAACCCGTGACCTTTCAAATAACACTATTGATGGCAGCCAAAGAGAGCATAAATAAAATAAAAAGATAATGTCATGCCCAGGACACTAAGCTGTAATTAAACATCAGATCTGAACTCATCTCCTTTTCTGCCTGATTGGCCATAAGTGTTAGAAATGAAATATGGAAAAATGATGCAAGGAAAAGCATTTGGACAATTCACATCCCAGAAAATTTTCAGTTTCTTAAAAATAATCTATAAAATATATCAAAGTGAACTCGATGCCAGAGCTGATGGTTAAAACTGTGAGATTAACCTTTAATTTTCCCCCAGTTTTTTGTGAACTTGAAATGGTAGGGCCATGACATCTCATAGTTATTCAGATGTGTTCTGGGGTGGGATGTCAGGGGAAGAATCTGGACTCCAGTTTTACGAAAAGATTCATTTTGGATGCATGCAGTGAGCCTGAACAACATAGAATGACTGTGAAGAAGATATTTTAATTGATATGCATGGAGATAATATAGCCGTTTTATAGGTTTGGTTTTCTGGGAAATGAAAGAAAACTTTCAAAGGTTTTTGCCAAACATTGCCATTGATGAAGTCCATTTTTAAATTACTCTTATGAGGTATAAGAGGAACACATATAAGGCTCACCCTGAAGTTAAAAGTTATGTCTTCATCAGGTTATTCTAGGCAGCAAGTTAAAGGAACAATAAAGACAAAATTCCCTCTTACCTCTGTTGCCCCCAGAGTAGCTTTGGGCTGACCAAGAAACAGCTGTCCTGATGTGGGCCATTTGAGAAACATGGCATAGACCAATTTGTTTTTAGGTTTGGACGTGTACCTGGTTAAAAGGGAATAAAAGCATAGTAATATTTCTCATTATTTATGGGTCAGGTCTAGAATTATTTAACAGAGATACTTCCATTCAGTAAATATTTACCAATGTTTTTATTAATAGAGTGAAGGAAAACTAGCCCGATGGTAGCATAAAAAGCACCAGAAGGGTTCTGATCCCAATTCCCGTGTATGTGTGTGGAGTGGGGAGAAGTTCCCCACACCACCAAGCAATTCTCGGACACTAACTGGGTGTCCTACAATTCAACTCAATTCTGACACCATCTACCCAGATATAGTGTCAGATTCTACAGGTTAAGGGTTTAGTCCTACAAGACTGCCCCCTCCCCAAATTCAGACACCAGTCACAAGTCCAGATTGTCACCTGGGCTTCTGACCCACAGGCTATAGATTGGAGCTTCCTACGACCCCCTCCTTGAGTTCAACTAATTTTCTAGAGCAGCTCACAGAATTTACAGAAACATTTTACTTCCTGTATTACAGGTCTATTATAAAAGGATATATCTCAGGAACAGCCAGATGGAAGAGATGCACAAGGCAAGGTATGTGGGAAGGGGCAGGGAGCTTCCATGCCCTCTCCAGGTGCTCCACTCTCCCTGTACCTCCACCAATCCAGAAGTTCTCTAAACCTCATCCTTGGGATTTTTATGGAGGCTTCATTAGTCATTATTAATTAAATCAATGACCACTGATGATTGGTTCAACCTCCACCCTCTCACCCCTCCCTGGAGGCCATGGGTGGGACTGAAAGTTCCAACCCTCTAATAACATGGTCGGGTCTCCTGGCAACCAGCCCTCATCCTTTGGTAGTGTCCAAAATCACCTCACTGACATAACAAAAGACACCTTTATGGCTCTCATCGCTTAGGAAATTCCAAGAGTTTTAGGAGCTCTGTGCCAGAAACAGAAAAAGACCAAATATATATTTCTTATTATAAATCACAATTATCACAGCACCTGTCTTCCCCACTTCCCCAGTGCTAAAAGGAAGTTCTTGGAACCGAGATTTTTCTAGTACTACTCTTCTTCATCAGACTTTTCTCATGGAGCTGGAAACAGGTGGGGGAATGTGAGCAAAGAGCATAAGATGCAAGAATAGATGGCTTTCCACCTGATGATCAAATCTTCATACTCCTTCATTCAACAGGTATGTATCTGTCAATGCTGGGCCCAGTACCGTGCTTGGTGTTAAGGATACAATAGAAAACAAAACACACTTAGTTCTTCTTCTTGTAAAGCTTAGACTAGAGTGAGGGAGAGAGACATCAAATAATCACACAAATAATATAGAAGGGTGAATTTTTATAAGCACTATGAAAGAAGAGGAAGTTGAAAGATTATAACAAAGGCATGTTTTTACGTTATACCATTAGCAAGAAAATGACATTTAATCTGAGACTTAAAGGATGAATGTGAGCAAAAGGGAAAAGGTGAGAAGAGTAAGGTCTAGACAAAGAAAACAGAATTCATTCATTTTTTCACTCAATTATTTGACAAATATTTATTGACATCTTAAAATGTTAATCACTGTTTCAGAGCTGGAGACATAGCATTGAACACAGTCCCTGTCCTCATGGAGCTTACATGTAGTGGAGAAAATTAGAATGAGCAGAAAAATGTATGTCAGATGATGATTAAATGTTATGGAGAAAACTGAAGCCCAGTAAGAAGAATAGAGCATGCCTGTGTGAAAATTGATAAACAGGAAGCTCAATTAAAATAGAGTCAGGAGACCAGAGAGGGGAGCTCCCATGCCCTGCAACAATAGCAGAGCCCACATGAAGTAGGAAGGCTCCTCTTATTACCTGGCAACAACTCAGCCAATGAAAAGCCATGGACTCTTCATTTACTATAGCTTTCCCAGCTTCCTTTTCCCCCCAGTAAAAGAGTTCTCCTTCCCTTGCTGTGCAGGGACTTACATGTGGCTTGCCACGTTTGCAGACCCCAAATTACAATTCCTTGCTGATCGCAAATAAACCCACTTTTGCTGGAGAAATAACTGGCAGTCTATTTTAGGTCAACACTACGTTGGCAAAAAGGGATCTAGGTGTTCTTTTAAATAAAGTAGTCAAAAAAGAAAACTACAGACCAATATCACTGGTGAACATAGATGCAAAAATCCTCAACAAAATACTAGCAAACAGAATCCAACAGCACATTAAAAGGATCAAACACCATGATCAAGTGGGGTTTATCCCAGGAATGCAAGGATTCTTCAATATATGCAAATCAATCAATGTGATACACCATATTAACAAACTGAAGGAGAAAAAAACATATGATCATCTCAGTAGATGCAGAGAAAGCTTTGGGAAAAATTCAACAACCATTTATTATAAAGGCCCTCTACAAAGTACACATAGAAGGAACTTACCTCAACATAATAAAGACCATATATGACAAACCCACAGCCAACATCATCCTCAAAGGTGAAAAACTGAAACCATTTCCACTAAGATCAGGAACAAGACAAGGTTGCCCACTCTCACCACTATTATTCAACATAGTTTTGGAAGTTTTAGCCACAGCAATCAGAGAAGAGAAAGAAAGAAAAGGCATCCAAATCGGAAAAGAAGAAGTAAAGCTGTCACTGTTTGCAGATGACATAATACTATACATAGAGAATCCTAAAGATGCTACCAGAAAACTACTAGAGCTAATCAATGAATTTGGTAAAGTAGCAGGATACAAAATTAATGCACAGAAATCTCTGGCATTCTTATACACTAATGATGAAAAATCTGAAAGTGAAATTAAGAAAACACTCCCATTTACCATTGCAAGAAAAAGAATAAAACACCTAGGAATAAACCTACCTAAGGAGACAAAAGACCTGTATGCAGAAAGTTATAAGACACTGATGAAAGAAATTAAAGATGATGGAGCGATATACCATGTTCTTGGATTGGAAGAATCAACACTGTGAAAATGACTATACTACCCAAAGCAATCTACAGATTCAATGCAATCCCTGTCAAACTACCACTGGCATTTTTCACAGAACTAGAATGAAAAATTTCACAATTTGTATGGAAACACAAAAGACCCCAAATAGCCAAAGCAATCTTGAGAACGAAAAAAGGAGCTGGAGGAATCAGGCTCCCTGACTTCAGACTATACTACAAAGCTACAGTAATCAAGACAGTATGGTACTGGCACAAAAACAGAAATATAGATCAATGGAACAGGATTGAAAGCCCAGAGATAAACCCACGCACATATGGTCACCTTATCTTTGATAAAGGAGGCAAGAATATAAAATGGAGAAAAGACAGCCTCTTCAATAAGTGGTGCTGGGAAAACTGGACAGCTACATGTAAAAGAATGAAATTAGAACACTCCCTAACACCATAAACAAAAATAAACTCAAAGGGATTAAAGACCTAAATGTAAGGCCAGACACTATCAAACTCTTAGATGAAAACGTAGGCAGAACACACTATGACATAATTCACAGCAAGATCCTTTTTGACCCACCTCCCAGAGAAATGGAAATAAAAACAAAAATAAACAAATGGGACCTAAAACTTCAAAGCTCTTGCACAGCAAAGGAAACCATAAACAAGACGAAAAGACAACCGTCAGAATGGAAGAAAATATTTGCAAATGCAACAACTGACAAAGGATTGATCTCCAGAATTTACAAGCAGCTTATGCAGCTCAATATCAAAAAAAGAAACAACCCAATCCAAAAATGGGCAGAAGACCTAAATAGACATTTCTCCAAAGAAGATATACAGATTGCCAACAAACACATGAAAGAATGCTCAACATCATTAATCATTAGAGAAATGGAAATCAAAACTACCATATGATGTCAACTCACACCAGTCAGAAAGGCCATCATCAAAAAATCTACAAACAATAAATACTGGAGAGGGTGTGGAGAAAAGGGGACCCTCATACACTGTTGGTGGGAATGTAAATGGATACAGCCACTATGGAGAACAGTATGGAGGTTCCTTAAAAAACTACAAATAGAACTACCATACGACCCAGCAATCCCACTACTGGGCATATACCCTGAGAAAACCATAATTCAAAAAGAGTCATGTACCACAATGTTCATTGCAGTTCTGTTTACAATAGCTAGGACATGGAAGCAACCTAAGTGTCCATCGACAGATGAATGGATAAAGAAGATGTGGCATATATATACAATGGAATATTAATCAGCCATAGAAAGAAATGAAATTGAGTTATTTGTAGTGAGGTGGACGGAACTAGAGACTGTCATACAGAGTGAAGTAAGTCAGAAAGAGAAAAACAAATACCGTATGCTAACACATATATATGGAATCTAAAAAAAAAAAGGTCATGAAGAACCTAGGAGCAAGACGGGAATAAAGACGCAGATCTACTAGAGAATGGATTTGAGGACACAGGGAGGGGGAAGGGTCAGCTGTGACAAAGTGAGAGAGTGGCATGGACATATATACACTACCAAATGTAAAATCCATAGCTACTGGGAAGCAGCCGCATAGCACAGGGAGATCAGCTCGGTGCTTTGTGACCACCTAGAGGGGTGGGATAGGGAGGGTGGGAGGGAGGGAGATGCAAGAGGGAAGAGATATGGGGATATATGTATATGTATAACTGATTCACTTTGTTATAAAGCAGAAACTAACACACCATTGTAAAGCAATTATACCCCAATAAAGATGTTAAAAAAGAAAAAAGAATATCAGAGGATTGTTAGGGGATTCTTTGGGTCCTCTGTGTTTATACTAACCTCAAATTAAATATCTGTACATTCTGTCACATTAATTTAAATCTTCACTAAACTTACTTTCTTAAAAGGAATAGACAACTTGTTCTCAAGGTAAATCAGTGATGAAGAAAACAGAAAAAATCATAGACCTTCTGATTCTCTTGACTGATTCCTTACTGATTTGGAGACAAACTTCAAATTTTAAAAAATTATTTTGAGCCATGTTAGAAATCATAATCACTCTCACATTTGGTAATCTGAAGCAGTTTTAATTTCTTAAACCAATGGCATTGCTGGAAATTACCTGACCCCTAAATTTTAAAATGTGTTCATTTATTCAAAAATTATCTATTTGTGACTACAATATACCTGGAACTCTTTTAAGTTCTGGGTGTACAGCAATAAAGAAGAAAGTCTACATGCAAAAAAATAAAAATAAATAGAATAGTCAAGGAAGACCTCTTTGAGGAGGTGGCGTTGAGGAGACCTGAAGGATGTGAGGGAGAACCACGTGAGCAGAGGAAGAGAACAGCAAGCACAGAGTCCCAATGCAGCAGTATGCTTGGCCTGTTGATAGAACAGCAAGGAGGGCAGAGTGACTGAAGGAGAGGAAGTGAAGGATAGCATGATAGCCAATGAGATCACAGAGACAAGGTGCTCGTTTTTATAGGACCTTATAAGCCTTTGTAAGTCTTGAATTTTTCTCTAAGACTGGAAGCCGCTGGAAGAATTTGAGCATGGGAGTGTCGTAACCTGACTTATTATTTAAAAGGTTTTGTAGCAGATAGATTAAAGGAGCACAGATGGAAATAGATCAGACAAGAAGCTACTGAAATAATCCACGGGGGAAACGATGGAGACTAACAGGAAGAGGGTTGCCACAGAGAGGATGAGAAGTGGTCAGATTCCAGATATATTTCAAAGATATGATGAATTTACTGATGGATTGGCTGTGGGATGTAAAAGAAAGGGAAGTTAAGGACTCCAAGGTTTTGGGCCTGACAAGCACCTAAAAGCATGAAGCTGCCATTAACTGAGATGGGGGAGACTGTGGGTGGAACTAATTTAGAGCAAAATTTTAAGGACCTAAGTTTTGGACACAACAGGTTTAAGATGCTTTATTTTTAAGTGGAGACACTGACTAGGAAGTTGAATATATGAGTCTGGAGTTTAAAAAAGATGATTGCACTGCAGAGGTCATCAGTATGGCATTTAAAGCCCTGAAAATAGATGAGATCACCTGGGGAATTAAGATAAAGAATAGAAGTCCAAGGGCTGAGCCTCAGGGCACTTCAAGGTTTAGTGGTCGGGGACTTGAGGTGGAACCAGCAAAGGAGACTAAGAAGGAATGGCCAACAGGCACAGTGAAGACAGAGACAGCCATCACCTGGAGCAAATGCTGACAGTAAGCTCAGATGATAGGGACCGCGACTGACCCAGTGAGGGAGAGGTTCCTGTGGACCTGGATAACAGTGATTTTATAGAGTGTGGGGTGGAAGTCTGACCAGAGTGAGTTTAAGAGGGAAACTGGAGGGCTTCCCTGGTGGTGCAGTGGTTGGGAGCCCTCCTGCCAATGCAGGGGACAAGGGTTCAAGCCCTGGTCCAGGAAGATCCCACGTGCAGTGGAGCAACTAAGTCTGTGCGCCACAACTACTGAGCCTGCACTCTAGAGCCTGTGCGCCACAACTACTGAAGCCCGCGTGCCTAGAGCCTGTGCTCCACAGCAGGAGAAGCACCGCAATGAGAAGCCTGTGCACTGCAGCGAAGAGTAGCCCCCACTCACCGCAACTAGAGAAATCCGCGTGCAGCAACAAAGACCCAACACAGCCAAAAATATACATAAATAAATAAATAAGTTTTTTTTAAAAAAGAGGAAAACTGGAGCAAGAAACTGGAGATAGCAAGTAAAAAACATTCTTTCAAGATGTTCTACTATAAAGGAAAGTAGAGAAATGGGAAAGTAGCTGGAGATCTAAGTAGGATGGAAAGAGTTCAAGATGAAAAAAACCAAAACAGGTTTTTATGCTGATAGGAAAGGATCTAACAAAGAGGGGAAATTGAAGATGAGGAGCAAACGGGGAGAATTGCTAGAACAATATCCTTGAGTGGATAATCTGGGATGGGATCCAGGATACACGGGTTTGCTTTAAAGCCAAAAGCGAGAGCATTTGACATTGTGTGTGTGTGTGTGTGTGTGTGTGTGTGTGTGTGTGTGTGTGTGTGTGTGT